CTCCTGTCCCCAAATGCCCGTTTTTTTTTTTTTTGTTTTTTTTTTTAAATATATTTTATTGATTTTTTACAGAGAGGAAAAAAGAGGGAGAGTTAGAAACGTTGATGAGAGAGAAACATCGACCAGCCGCCTCTTGCACACCCCCTACTGGGGGTGTGCCCACAACCCAGGTACATGCCCTTGACTGGAATCGAACCTGGGACCTTTCAGTCCGCAGACCGACGCCCTACCACTGAGCCAAACCGGTTTCGGCGCCCGTTTTAACATGGAAGTGACTGAGCTTCCTAGACAAGTGATACCAACGTCACAGGCCACTGAACGCAGGGCGAAAAGGCGCTGCCATCAGCCCTGCGTCCGGCTGAGAGGACTCGGACCCACGCTGCCTGGGGGCGTGGGGCCTGAACAAGCAGTCACCCGGCATGGACCCCTCCCCACCACAGGACGCGCCCGTGGGAACTGGCTGTTCCAGGTTTGTGACTCCAAGTTGTGCCGCTCTGAGCCCTGGAGGACGTGGCATTCCTCTGCCAGGCGTTCAGCTGTGGGGCTCCCGGTGGGCGTGGCCACCGAATGCCTCCTCAAGGGCGCCGGCTGGCAGCTCTGCGTTTGATCAGCACCAGCTTCGGGAGTGGGGCGCTGACCCCACAGCCCCCCCGTCCCCCAAAATAAAATCCCAATTCCTTACTTTGTGCCCAAGGTCTAAGCAAGGTCGGCAAACTCATTAGTGAACAGAGCCAAATACCAACAGGACAACGATTGACATTACTTTTGAGAGCCAAATTGTTTAAACTTAAACTTCTTCTAACGCCACTTCTTCAACACAGACTCACCCAGGCCGTGGTGTTTTGTGGAAGAACCACACTCAAGGGGCCAAAGAGCCGCACTTTGCCAACCACGGGTCTAAGCAATCTGCCCCACTGCCTTCCTCACCCAGGGCTTCCTGCCATGCCCACCTCCCCTTGTTCCTGGGCCAAGCCAAGCCAGGTCCTGCCCCAGGGCCTTTGCTCCTGCTGCTCTCTCTGCCCTGAAGGCTCCGTCTAAATCACCTCAAAGCTGCTCCCTCTCCAGAGGCCTCCCTGACGTCCGACTCCGCTCCGAGCCGACAGCGGCCCCGTGGGGCTGTCTTCGCCCAGTGCCTGGAAGGTGGTGTTTGTGGAAGGAACGAGGGGGCGTTTCCAAAAGCAATGCTCTGAGCAGAGCGTTGGGGAGGTCCCGGGCTCCACGGAGCTAACCAGCTCCTGGTTACACAGCCGCTGGGGGCATGTGAGACCCCAGCTCTGCCCGTCCTCCACCCGCACCTGCGTGGCTCTGCCGTGTGGGCGTGCACGCTGGGTGTCTACACGCAGTCCAGCGGGAGCATCCTAGCAGCACGGCACTGTAGACCTTCGAGGAGCCGTACCAAACAGGAGAACCAAACTGGAAATTGCAATCAGAGAGTTTATTTAACTCGATGGCATCATCCTAGCGTGATTCATATAAAAATCACCGAGACGGGTTACGCTCTTTCCTTTCCTACGAAGTCCGCGGAGCCTGTGGGCTCTGCCCATGGAGCACACCGGCCTTGGGCAGCCCCGTGCGCAATGCCCACCGTCCAGGCCTAGCCTTCGCCTGGTGAGGCCACCCAGTGCCTGTGACATGGATTCATTCACAAAATAGTTACAAATCAATTCTGGGTTTAAATAGATATTTTTATTGATGTCAGAAAGGAAGGGAGAGAGGGAAAGAGAGAAACATCAAGGATGAGAATCATTGATCGGCTGCCTCCCGCACACCCCCTACTGGGGATCCGGCCCACTGCCTGGGCAGGAGCCCTGACTGGAATCGAACCGTGAACTCCTGGTTCCTATGTAGGCTGATACTCAACCCCTGAGCCATGCCCATCAGGCATTCTGGGGTATTTTAAACTTCATGTCTGTTTGTAAGTTTTGAAAATGAAAATAATTAATAGGGAGTTAAAAACAACCCGAGAATGGCTTCCCTGCTTGCTGGCGGCTTCTCCCTTTCTGGGGAGCCTGGACTAGTCGCAGGGCCCGGGGCCCCGAGATGATGAGTTAATTAGCGCCTGCCCAGGCACTTTTGATCTTCAAGGAGCGGTGCCCACTCGGCTGAGCTGCTGCTGGGCTAATTGCCCTGAACCAAGAAAGGCTTGCTGGAGACACAGGCACCGAGGGGTTTCATCAGGACAAATTGTTCCGGAATCCGCTCTGGCACCCGTGGGTTTGGGTGCCCAGCTGGGTGCTAGCAGCTGTGCCTGGCCTGTGTGCCCAGGGGCATGTGCCCGGCAGAGGCAGGGCCTTCCTTTCCCAGCGGGGCCTGGGTGTGCCCCTCCCCATTCCCCTGGCACCTCTGGACCAGGGACCAGGTGGGCATGGGCCCCAGGACTGTGGGTAACTCTCCCCTTGGCTGCAGGGCAAACGCCACCCGAGTGACCGTGGCACCTCATGGTCTGGGCAGAGCAGCAGAGGCCACGGGAGCTGTGCCCAGGGAGGATCCCTCCTCAGCCCTGGGCCGTCTGGAAAGTGGGGTTCAGGGTGACCGTGGGATGCTGGGCTCTCTGAGTCCTCACCTGAGGACATTTTCCCATTGACCTTCCTGAGAGAAGGAAAGACAGACACTCCATCTGACCGGGGAAGAGCCTGCAACCAAGTTGCACCCCCGTGACTGCAATCGAACCCAGGACTGTTCGGTCCACAGGCTGATGCTCTATCCACTGAGCCAAACCAGCCAGGGCTCTTGACAGCCCTTAAGAAAGGCCCCTTGCCAAAACCAGTTTGGCTCAGTGGACAGAGCGTTGGTCTGCGGAATGAAAGGTTCCAGGTTCGATTCCGGTCAAGGGCATGTACCTTGGTTGCGGGCACATCCCCAGTAGGGAGTGTGCAAGAGGCAGCTGATGGATGTTTCTCTCATTGATGTTTCTAACTCTCTATCCCTCTCTCTTTTTCTCTGTAAAAGAAATCAATAACATATATTAAAAATAAATAAAAGCCTCTTGCCCGCCTGCAGCCCTGCCTGGCTCTGAGGGCGACCAGGCTGTCCTGACCCTCCCAGAGGCCGGGAGGGGCCTCCAGGGGCGGGTGCCCAGCCAGTCACTTCAGCTGTGCGGGGGCCTCGGCACCTATTTGGAGCACCTGACTCACCCTAATGACGGCCTTGGGCACGGGCTGGGCTCCGGAGGCGGTGGGCACCCCCTGCCTGGGGCACCCTCCCTCCCACCAGCCGCTCCCCAGGGGGGACCCTGTCCCTCTCTTCCACCAGGTCTCTCCCCCCCCCCCCCCCAACCTCCCTCCCGACACACACCTTTGGCCCGAGTTTTCCTGGGTCCCCGCCCATGGAACCCGGAACCGGGCCTGGCTTCCTCCTGCTCGAGTGTGTTTGGCTTCGTTATCAAATGTTTGCCGTGACCCGTGTGCACCTCACGGGCTGGGGGAGACTCCGCTCCCGGGAAAGCGGAAACATACGCGACCACGTCTGGCCCGTGGAGGGCGCCGGGGGCTGGGGGCAGGCTGGGCAGGCGGGGTCCCCTCAAGCATCCCCCAGCCCCAGCCCCAGCCCAGGTGCTGGAGTCCGGACGGGTGCGGAGGAGGTGCCGAGGTCCGGGAGGAGGGCCATGCGTGAGGAGGGGTGCTCCTGGTCACCTCCTGGTCCAGTCAGTCCTGCACCTCCATTTCCAGTTCTCCAAGCAGCTGCTGTCGGTTCCACAGGGGTGGGCCGGGTGCTGGGGTCCCCGTCCGGCCCCAGGGCAGGCCTCAGTGCCGCGGCCCCGGTGGCGCCCCAACTCCCCCGACGGCTGTCGCGTGGCTGCGGAAGTTTTTGCCACCCTCACAGAGCCACAGCCGCTGTTGTGGTCGCTATGACGACGAGAGCGGTTTTATTTTTAATAGCGGCTTGAGATTAGAGGGAGGGAGGGAGGCCCGCCTGCTCCCCCCAAAGATTTCCAGTCTGGGGCGGGCTTGGCCCTGCTCCCCTGCCCACTCTGGTCTGAGAGTATCCGTGCCCCCAGATCTCTCTGCTGGCCCCACATTGGAACAGGGTGTCCCTGAGGTGCCAGGCCACTCAGGGGCGGGGACCCCCCAGGGATCCTGTGCAGCGCCCCCTTCTTCGTTCCCACCCTGGGTACCACCCGAGGGGATGTCCCGGGCCTGCCTGCCCAAGACCAGGGTCTCAGCGGCCTGTTGTGGCCTCTCTCAGCTGCATGGACATCAGACAGCTCCACCGGCTCCAGCCAGAGGCCTGGCGGTGGCATCTGCCTGCTTTCCAGAAGCTTCCAGGGGTCTGTGAAGCGATAGGAGGTTCCTCAGGGACAGACAAGGGCTGGCTCTCACGTGCTCCTCGTGGTCTCCAAGTTCCCCTGCTTCTGCCCGGGCCTCCCTCCCGCTCTCCCCAGGCTGCGGGGCTGCAGGGCCGGGCTGTGGGGAGGCTGCAGGGTGTGGAGGCCTCTGGAAGGAACGGCCACCATGGTTCCCTGGCCCCCCACCCCCTCCGCACCGGCCTCTGACATGCCAGGGCGGCGCCCGAACTGCCAGGGCCCTGGCTCCAAGGCTTTGGGGTCGCTTGCTCCGCACCCCGCTTGCTCTGGTCCTGACCTCACCTCCCGCTCGCGGGATGAGCTCAGGCGGGCGACGCCGGGTACCTGACCCACCTGGCCCAGGAGGGCGAGTCCTCCAGGCCTGGGCGCACCCACCGGAGGCGAGCAGTCCGGCCGCGCACAGGCCTCCGCCCCCGCGGGTGCTGCCCGGGCGGGAGGGGGCGCTCTGTGCGCCCCGCGATCCGCCGTCCGATCTCTCCGGGGTTCCCCACGAGCGGCTCCCTCTCCCCCTTCCCCGCGAGGTCCCGGCCTTCCACGCAGGAGCGAGGCCTGGGGGACCCCGCAGCCCCGGGCGCCCCGCACCTCGGGATGAGGGTGGAGGCTCCGCATCCGGACGCCGCGGGCGCCGGGTCCGGGGCGCGTGGCCGCCGCCAGGTGAGCGCCCGCAGCGCACGAACCCCGCCCGCTCCTCCGCGGCGCGGTCCTTCCTTTTATGGCGCCGGGAGGAGGGGGTCCGGGCCCAGCGCGGGGCGGCTGCTTTTGCCCTTTTTGGCGTCGCGGCTCTGGCGCTGCCCGCGGCCGCCGCTGGGCCGAGGCGAGCCGGCTTCTCCGGCCTCCGCCCTCCTCCCCGGGCCGGTGCCGCAGGCCCGCGGCGGACGCGGGAGGGGCGGGCGAGGGCGCGGGGTGTGGATGGGCTTCCCGCCCGCGGGAGCGTGTGCGTCTTGGTGCTCCGGGACCCCACGTGCCTCGGAGGTGCGGGTCCGGCCTGGAACCGGGAGGCGGAGGGCGGGGCGGGGAGGGGCGCGGCGGCGGCGGCGGCGGCGGCGCTATAACCCCCTCCCGCCGCCGGCCGGCCGCACACGCCGCCCCGCGGAGCCGCACCGCTCCGCCCGCGCCCGTCCCTCTGCCGGTGGCTGCCGCCCGCCCGGTCCCGCGCCCGCCCCCAGGCCCCGCGGCGAGGCCCGTGCGCCGGCGGCGGCTGCCCGGCTGGGCCGGCGGAGGGCGGAGCCGAGGGCGCGCCGCGGAGGGGCGCACGCAGGCCGCGGGCCGCGCTGCGCTGGGCTGGGCCGCGCTGTGCCCGGCCTGGCGGCGGCGGCGGCGGCGGCGGCGAGGAGAGGCCGGAGGAGCGCGGGGCCGGCGGTGGGCGCGGGGCCGCCGCAGCCCGCAGAGCGCGAGCCCGCGGCCGAGCCCGGCCGGGCGCCCGGACAGGTGGCGGGCGGCGCGGCGGCTCCTGCCCGGCGGCGGGCTCCCTCCCGGGCGGACGCCGCCGACGCGCAGGATCCCCGGCCGGGTCGCTCCTAACGCGGCGCCGGGAGCGAGCGCGGCGGCGGCGGCACCGGGACGCACCAGGGAAGAAGCCCGGCCCCGCCCTCCGCCCCTTCCGTCCCCACCCCCTGCCGGCGGCCCGAGGACCCGGCGCCGGGCGCACTCCGCTCCTCCTCCCGCCGCTGCCTCCGCGCCGCCGCCGCCGGGCGCTCCGCCCGCAGCCCGCGCCGCCTCCCCGGCCGCTCCTGAGGGATGGTCCCGGGTCTCGCCGCCACAGGAGCCCGGCTGCAGCGCCCGCCCCGCGGCCTCGCCTCCCCGCCGCGCCGCCTGCGCCTCGGGCCGCGATGAGGACCTGGGCTTGCCTGCTGCTGCTCGGCTGCGGATGCCTCGCCCATGCCCTGGCCGAGGTGGGTGCCCCCGCCCGCCCGGACCCCGCCGCCGGCGCACGCCCCCCGCCGCCGCCGCCCGCGGCCCGGCTCCCCGGCGCCCGGCTCGGTCTGCGGCGCGTTGGGTTCTGCGGGGGCTCGGGTTTTAAATTCTCCCAACTGGTGGGTCTGCGTTCCGCCCGAGCGCGCGGTGAGTTCCAGCGTGTGGCGTCGCCCCGCCGCGGAGGGACGCGCGGGCCCGGGGACGAGCGGGAGAAACTTCGGGGGCGCGGGCGTCTCTCCGGGAGGACCGGGCGCGGCGGGCAGTGCGGGCCGGGGTGTGGGGACCGGGGAGGGGGGTGTGGGAGCCGGTGGAGCCGGGGACGGAGACGGGGAGAGCGGCCGGGAAGCAGGTGGGGGTCTCGCGGTCCGGCGGGCGGCCCGGAGCCGCAGCGCCGGGTCCCCGGGGCCGAGCCGGCGGAGCGGCGGGGCCGGCGCAGTCCCGCCCGCCGGGCCTGCTTACAGGTGGCCGAGCCGGGCCCGCGTCCCCCCGCCCGCTCCCGGTCTCCACCCCGAGTCCCCGGAGCCCCCTGTGACAAACCACCCTCTCCGGCCCCCGTGGGAACTTGGTGCTGGAGCCCCCGGAGCCCCGGAGCCCCAGGCCCTGGAAAAGCCGGGACGGAGGGGAGGCCGGCGGCGGGGCTGTCTGGGAGGGACCCGGAGCCGCCGGGGTGGAGGTTTAACCCTCCCGGCCCTGCAGCTCCCGCGGCCCCGGCGGTTCGGGGCGTCCTTTGGGCGCCGGGGGGCCGGGGCGGGTGGGTGTCGGGTGGGTGTGTGCGCGCGGGGCCGCAGACCCTCCCCCGCGGGCGGGCGGCCGGTCCGGGGAAGCCCCAGCCCCGGCGGCGGGATGAGTGTCAGGGCTGCCCGGCTCCCGTCGCCCATCCGTGACGCATTTCAACTTGAGCTTCTGCATGTTGGTTTCCCTCCGAACCAGAAACTCCGGGCCCGGCACCCAGGCCGCCCGAACGGACACCCCGCGGAGGGGCCGGGGTGGGGTGGGGTGGGGGGCTTCGTTTTGAAAATGTAAAGGCGGGGCGGGATTTTTTTTTTTTTTTTTTTGGCAGAGGGCAGGCACGGGTGGGGACGGGTAATGTGGGGGTCTCCCTAGGCTCCACGGCCAGGGCGGGGGTCGGGCGGCGGGCGGCCTCTCGTGCGGCGAGGTGGTCCATGGGGCGGGGGCCGGGTGGGGCGGGGGCTGCCGGGCTGACCGTGGGGCTCTGCTTGCAGGAGGCCGAGATCCCCCGCGAGGTGATCGAGCGGCTGGCGCACAGTCAGATCCACAGCATCCGGGACCTGCAGCGGCTCCTGGAGATAGACTCCGTAGGTAAATCGCGCCCCTGCCCTGGCGCGGGGAGGGCGCGGGGAGGGCGCGCGCCGCGGGGCCCTGCGCTCGGGCCGCCGCCTCCCGCGCTCCAGCCGCCCGGAGGAGCGCACCGAAAGGTCAGAATCCAATCCCGGGCCATAAACGCCGAGGCGCATGAGTCAGGAGTTTCTCTTCCAATCACCACTTTCTCCGCCGCCGCGGGCTGCACTCCCCGCGGTGGTGTTGCCTTAAGGGACTTGCCGCGTGTGCCACCCAGAGTTCAGCCACCGAGGGCGCCGGCCGGCCAGGTGCGCCTCCGGGCCTGCCCCCGGCCCCGGCCCCGGGCTCAGCCCTGGAGGAGGACAGGGCCTGGGTGCAGGCCGGGCGGTGGCTCAGGCAGGGGTCCCTCTGCATCCTGGGGAACTCGCCCCACTCCTGCCGGAGGCTGTGGTTTCCTGGTGGCGGGAGGCCTGTCTCCTGTTTTCACGAGGCTGTAAAAAGGTGCGCCCAGGACAGACACGTGTGGTGTTTGGGGACTGTTTCGGGGCCAGCCCTTAGGCCCTGGAGCCCAGCCCCCGCAGACACGTTTGTGTGTGCGGCGGGCAGGACTCGCTCTGGTATCTGGACTGGGCACCGGTCGGAGACGGCGTGGCTGGTGAAGGGGAACGGGTGCTGGGTGGCCTTGCCGGGGTGTGGGCCCGAGAGGGCTGGGCCGGTCCAGGAGGACGCGTGTCCCGCGTGGGAACCACGCTGCTATCAGGGCCTCTGGACTGAACCGGGAGGGCTGGAGGCAGCAGGGGTGGGGGAAGATCTCTCCCTGGAAAGCGGTGGGTGTGGGGCGTGGAGGGCAGCCCTGTCCCGCCATTTGGAAATTTGTACCTAATTGTGCTGGAGAGGCCTGCTCTGTTTTCATTTCGTGCCAGGACGGCCTCCAGCGGCCGCGGTGTCTGTTCTCCTGACCCAGGAAATCCTTCGGCGGATCCTTATCGCAGGGGTAGGGTTTCACCGGGAGATCAGAGGGGGCGGGGGTGGGGGTGTTATCTGCTCCCGGGTGAGTAGCCCCGGGGAGAAGGGCTTGTTTTGGGGGAGCCAGGAAGGTGGTCCCGGTGGGTTGGGGGTAGTGTGGGGAAGACTGCCTCCCAGAGAGCTCCCCAGCTTTCTCTTGTTCTGGCTGGAGGAGGGGGTGTCCCCTGGGGGGGCTGTGGAGGCCCGGGAAACGAGCCATCGACTCTCCGCAGGCCCCATTCTTATTCAGTCTGCAGCCCCGCCCCCACCGCCTCCCCACCCCCACCCTGATTGCCCTCCAGGGGGGTGGGGGTGGGGGTAGCTCCGGGCCCAGGGTCTCCACCGTGAAAGCCGGGATTCACCAGTCAGCTCTTGGCTGGTTTCGAATTGCCCCTCATAAACAGCCCAGGGGCTCCCCTCCCCCCGCCCCCAAGGAGGGGGGTGGGTGGCTCACCTGCCCGGGCCTACCTGTCAGACTTCAGTGCAGTGCCGGGAGGCCTGGGGTGAGAGGAGCGCAGGGCCTCCAGGGGTCCTTGGTGACCCACACCCCAGAGTATTGATCCTGGCCACCTCCCTCTCTCAGACCTGGAAGCTGAGGACCAGAGAAGACCAGGCCTCTGGCTGAGCTCAGGGGCTGCACCTGTTGCTTCTGGAGCTCGCAGGGGAGGGGGTCCCCAGCTCCTGCTCCTGCCGGAGGGAGAGGGGCCGCAGGGGCGCTGGGAAGGCTGTAAGCAGCTGTGGAGGATCAGGCTGCCCTGCCGGCCATTAACAGCCCCCCCCTTCAGTGGGGAGCGGCTGGTGCGGAGGAGGGGACAGGGGGTGTTTCCACGTCTGCCCCAGTGGGAGGCCAAACCCCAGGAATCAGAACTGAGTGTTTTTAAACCTCCTGTGGACGCAGCTTTGTGATTGGTGTGTGGGATTTGGGCTCCTCCCAGGGACCGGGCTGCAGTCCCATTTCACAGGGAGACACTGAGCCTGCTGCTCCGGGAGGTGTGGTCGGAGGCCTAGGCACAGGGCTCCCTCACTGAGCCTGTGAATGCTTCTGAGCGGGGAGAAGGGGCTCGATTTCCCGCATGCCTGTGTGCGTGCATGTGTGTATGCATGCGTGCACATGTGCATGTGCGTGGAGTGTGCGTGCACGTGTGTGCACATGTATGTGGAGTTTGGGCCAGTGTATGTGTGTGCATGTGTGTGTGTGGAGTTTGGGCCTGTGTGTATGTGTGTGAGTGTGAGCATGCATGTGTGTGCGCACACGTGTGTGGAGTTTGGGCCAGTGTGTGTGTGTGTGTGTGTGTGTGTGTGTGTGTGTGGAGTTTGGGCCTGTGTGTGTGTGTGGAGTTTGGGCCTGTGTGTATATGAGTGTGTGTGTGTGTGTGTGAGTGTGTGTGTGTGTGTGTGTGTGTGTGTGTGGAGTTTGGGCCTGTGTGTGTGTGTGTGTGTGTGTGTGTGTGTGTGGAGTTTGGGCGTGTGTGTGTGTGTGTGTGTGTGGAGTTTGGGCCTCTGTGTGTGTGTGTGTGTGTGTGTGGAGTTTGGGCGTGTGTGTGTGTGTGTGTGTGTGTGTGTGGAGTTTGGGCGTGTATGTGTGTGTGTGTGTGTATGTGGAGTTTGGGCCTGTGTGTGTGTGTGTGTGTGTGTGTGTGGGGTTTGGGCGTGTGTGTGTGTGTGTGTGGAGTTTGGGTGTGTGTGTGTGTGTGTGTGTGTGTGTGTGTGGAGTTTGGGCCTGTGTGTGTGTGTGTGTGTGTGTGGAGTTTGGGCCTGTGTGTGTGTGTGTGTGTGTGTGTGTGGAGTTTGGGCCTGTTTGTCTAATGGCCCGGGGCTTTGTTCTGCGCTGTCTGGCCTGGTGCCCGTGGGTCATTGAGTGAGTGATACGTAAAGATCCCATCTCGGCCATTAACTGTGCCAGGACCGAGGCCTGAGGCCTAAAAGACAAGGGAAACAGGTCACCTGTCCTCGGAGCCTGACGGCAGCCCTCTCTGCCTTCTGAGTCGCCAGCGGGAGTGACCGCAGTCCGCAGGTGCTGACCACCCATCGGGATGGGCGGAGGGTGGGCTTGCAGGACCAGAGCGGTTCCTGCCGTTTCGTCCCAAAGCCGGTGGGATTTTGGCCGGTGGGTGAGCTGGGAGCCCGTCATCTGTTTATGGGGCTGGAGGAGGCCTGGGGGGGAGGGCTGAGAGGGACACGGTCCTGTCACGTGTGTCTCTGTCATGCCTCGTCATGGACCTCTGTAGGCCCAGAGAGGTGCGCACACGGGGGAGACTCGTGTTGAGGTCAGAGGTCAGCAGTCAGCCCGGGCTGTGGGAACGGTGCTGAGTGCTGAATTCTCTCTCTGCGAGGGTGGACCGGCCACTCAGCTCTCCGTCCGGCGATGGCGAGAGGGCACCACGGACGTGACTCACAGACGTCCCTCTTTTCGTGAAAGAGGGCTTCTTGGAACCAGTGGCTGATGGGAAATTCTTCCAGCATGAGTAGTTCTGTTCCGATCTTATTTTGGGTCGAGAAAAAACAGTGGTCGTGGAACTCTGAGTCATTCTGAGGGAAAAGTTGGGTTCCGCTCAGACTTCAAAAGAGCACGGCCCTTGCCCTTGGCCCCGTGGGCATGCTGCTCGTTCTTGGTTTAGAACGAGTGGGCAGCGTCCGGGCCTCCTGGGGCCAGGGTGCGCCTGGCGGGCGATGAGGGGCGGACGGGACCTCTGTGCCGCTGCAGGAGCCTCTGGCTGCGGCATGGCTTCTCAGGGCCCCGGCTTCCCAGGGCCCCGGCTTCCCAGGGCCCCGGCTTCTCAGGGCCCCGGCCCGTGGGCATCCCCGGGGCGGTGGCGGGGTGGAGGGGAAGTGGCACAGCCCCCTGCTGGGTCGGGGCAAAGGCAAAAGCAGTTGACCCCCCTTACCCCTCGTTCCTCTGAGACTTGGGGGCCCTGGGAGGAGAGGCGGGGGAGAGTTCATGTGTTTGGGGGGCTCTCAGCAGCCCTGGGGACCAGGGTCCAGTTCTCATTGGAGCCCTGGGGCCTTCACCCACACAGCGTGCTTTGGGAGCCACAGGGACTTGGGGGCCGAAGTGCCTGCATCTGTCAGTCACCCCCCTCAGTCCTGCAGCTGCTCCCTGCTGAGCTCGGTGGGGCTCGCTCCCCCTAGGGTTTCTTGGGGTCCCCCTCAGCGGACTTGCTTCGGGAACAGTGGGGTTTGCTGTCAGCCACCGCCTGGCCCTGATTCCAATGCCTCCAAGGCTAGGCCCCTCCGTGAGGGTCCAGGGAGGGTGTGGGGGAGGTAGGGGGAGACGCAGGCACGTCCAGCAGCACCCGCCTGGCTGTGCTTCCCAGGGGCCATCTGGGAGGGGGCCCCACTGGGAACAGCTGGCCTGTGGGTTTAGGTCTTTGGACCCTCACCTGGGACTCCTCGGAGGAGGCGCCCAGGGGACACCCTGCCTCCCACGAGTCCACAGCTTGGCCGCGCTCTGCGCTGAGGGAACTGGGCGTGGGGGCTCCGTGTGGGCTGTGTGGGGTCGGTGGGGTGCCGGGCAGCTGAGCCTCACACCCTGCACCTCCGGGCACTCCCCACGGGGGTCGGCCGTCTCCAGGGACCCCTTGTCCTGCAGCTTGAGGTGGGGCTGAGCTGCAGGAGGCGCTGTGGCCGGCCGGGGGTGGCTGGTCACCTGTCTTCTTTGCACCTTCAGGGGTCGAGGATGCTCTGGAGAGCAGCCTGAGGGCCCATGGGGGCCGCACCGCCAAGCACGCCCCCGAGCAGTGGCCCGCGCCCCTCCGGCGGAGGAAGAGGAGCATCGGTGAGCGAGGGGCCGGGTTGGGGGGTGGGAGGGCCCCACACCGCTTCCCTCCTTCCTCTCCAAACAAAGGCCCAGCCTGCCAGGGCCCCTCCCTGCGGAGGGTGTCTCCCCGCCCGCCCGCCCGCCGGAGCCCCTGGAGAGGGAGCCGTCATAAATTCCTGAAGTGCCGGTCTTGTCGGGGCCTGCTCCCGGAGGCCGCGCTGGGAGACGCGGGCTCCACTTCCAGCTCGTCATGCGGATCCTGGCTGCCCCCCGCCTCCCCCAGCTCCAGGGCCTCACCGCAGCCCCGGCTCAGGGATGTTGGTTCCTGTCTGCCTCACAGAGCAGCCCGGGCTGTGCGCTTTGAGCTCGAGGGGCTCTGCACCGTCCTGCCTGGGGGCTCGGTCGGTCGGGGCTGGGCTGTCCCGCCCAGCCATCGGGCTGCCTGCTTCCCGCCCGGCCAGTGGGCCCTGCCTGGCCTTGGGCAGGCGACCCCCGCCCCAGCGTTAGTTCCCTCGGGGGCCTTGTGGAGGGTGTGGCTCTGGCTCAGGTAGCTGGGCCCTCCCCAGTGACAGTCACTGTGCGGTGACCACGTAGGCCACCTCCTCCCAGCAGCTGGGCTCCCTGGAGGGGTCGGTCCTGTCCAGCCCGGGAGGCCATGAGGGGCTGGGCCTGAGGCCTCCTGGCTCCACCCCAGCCCACGGCCAGGCTCCCTGGACCCTCTCCCCGGTGGTGCTGGGAGTGCAGACTTCCCTTGGGACAGCCATTGGGTGGCTTATTCTCGGGGCGCAGGTCCCCGCTGGGTCCCCCAGGCTCCCCGAGGTCCTCCCGCCCGTGTGAGGCGGGTGTGGCAGCTGGCACGGGCGGAGGCAGCGGATGGTCCTCCATCTGCAGGGCAGCGAGTGCCCCCTCCATGCTGGCCGCTGGGCTGTGCATGCCGGGGTGTGCGAGGGGGTGTGGGGAGGCGGCTGCGGGGGGGTGGTGGCGGGGGAGGTTGCAGACCCTGCTGGCTGGGCTCCCCGGGCACTTGTCTGGGGCCCGGGGTGGGTTTCTCGTCTGTTGGTCCCACCTGGTGTCCTGCCCGTGAGGCTTCGGGCTGGACTGTGGGCCGTGCGAGGCGCACGGAGCAGAAAGACCCGGGTCCTCCTGGGGGCTCAGGGCCTGGGTGTCCAGGCCTGGCTCATCCCACGTCCCTTCCTGCTGTGCCGGCGTGGGACCCCTCCCTCCCTGTGACCCCTCTGTCCTTCCCCGGGTTCTCCCCACGGGGCTCGAGCCCCTGCTCACCCTGGGACAGCTCAGCGGCCCCCTGGGGTGAGGGGACTCTGGGGCTGTGACACGTGTCCATTGGAGGAAGCAGCAGCCCCGGCCCCATGAGGGGCTGCAGCCCAGGCCGGGTGGGCGGGGTCAGTGGATGGGGGGCGGGGTCAGTGGACAGGTGGCCGGTTCAGTGGAAGGGGGGCGGGGTCAGTGGATGGGGGTGGGGTCAGTGGACAGGTGGCCTGTTCAGTGGAAGGGGGCGGGGTCAGTGGATGGGGGCGGGGTCAGTGGACAGGTGGCCTGTTCAGTGGAAGAGGGGCGGGGTCAGTGGATGGGGGCGGGGTCAGTGGACAGGTAGCCTGTTCAGTGGAAGGGGGCGGGGTCAGTGGACAGGTAGCCTGTTCAGTGGAAGGGGGCGGGGTCAGTGGACAGGTAGCCTGTTCAGTGGAAGGGGGCGGGGTCAATGGATGGGGGCGGGGTCAGTGGACAGGTAGCCGGTTCAGTGGAAGGGGGCGGGGTCAGTGGATGGGGGTGGGGCAGGGGCGGGGTCAGGGACAGGCATGCTCTCCACGTGGGCTCACCAGCCTCTCCCTCTGCAGAGGAGGCTGTGCCCGCCGTCTGTAAGACCAGGACGGTCATCTACGAGATACCTCGGAGCCAGGTGGACCCCACATCCGCCAACTTCCTGATCTGGCCGCCGTGCGTGGAGGTGAAGCGCTGCACCGGCTGCTGCAACACCAGCAGCGTCAAGTGCCAGCCGTCCCGCGTGCACCACCGCAGCGTCAAGGTGAGCCACGCCACGGCCGCCCCGCCCCCTCCCCCCGGCACCCACCCCTCGGCATCCACGGCTTCCCTGTGGCACCCACAGCACCCACAACCTCCACACGGCCCCTTGGGGGCTGGGGCCCCGAGCCTGTACAGCCACGGTCCGTCTCCTGCTCCGGGCAGGTGTGGGGCCCTGCACGACAGGAAACAGTGCGTCCTCAGGGGCCCTAAAGCCTCTCCCCAGGACACGGGCAGGAAGGGGCTGCTGGGGTGGCCCTGGGCATGATGCCTGTAAATCGGGGAGGGCACCTCCTCTCGTGGTGTCGATGGAGTGTGTCTCAGGGGGCTCCTTCTGGGGGTGCTGTTCAGGAGGAACAGGTGCTGGGCTGGCTCACCCTCTCCCTCAGGCTGGGCCAGCCGAGGTGCCTTCAGGGCAGCACTGGGGGAGGATGGGGGAGGGGGCGGGGGGCCAGGAAGGCCACGTAGGAGTTCCTTGAGCCCCCACCTGAGTCATGGGGGGACATTCTGCTTCTTCAGGTCACTCTGGTGGCCAATGGCTGGCAGCTCCTCTGGGGACACGGGTCCCCCCTCCGGCCTCACTAACCTCATCTGTAAAATGGGTCTGAAGCCGGGAGCCCTGGAGAGCCAGCCCTTTAGGAAGGAAATGGTTGGAGGAGCCCCGGGGCGCCTCCTGGCTTCTCGGGGTGAGGCTGAGGCTGTGACACCAGGGCCCCCGTCTGGGCCCCTGGGTGTGGGTCCTTCCTGGGCAGTGGGCCTGCGGGCCCTCCCCCTCCCGCTGAGCCTCCTGGGCAGGTGCGCCCGCCCTCCGGGTGGAAGGGGCCATCAGGGTGGTGGAGCTCATTCCTGGTGCCCTGCTGTCCAGCCCTGAGGCCGGCCCTGCCTCCGCGTGAGGCCAGGGGGGCCTCCTCAGGAGGACCAGGCCTCGCCGGTCGGCTGTCGCACAAGAAGGCCCTTTAGACCCACACCTGGGCCTCCTGTCCTTGGGGACCGGGCTCTGCCGCGAGGAGGCTGAGGAGGCACATTCCGTGCCGTGGGCCACGGGCAAGGTGCTCCCAGGCCGGGACGCTGGCCGGCGGGCGGGGTCCTGGCTCAGAGGTGTCCCGGCTGAGATGCCTGGCAGAGGGAGGGGCGGCAGGGCGGGCGTGTGGGGCCAGCCTTCCCGGGAGGCACGTCTCTGCCTGGGGCGGGGGGGTGGAGGGGGCCCGGGCCTCCCCTCGGCCTTCCTTGCCCCAGCGGGGTCATGGTCAGCCCGGGGTTGGGGCCTCCATCCGGCAGCTGGTCTGCCCGCGCCCTGCCCTGCCCACCCGCGAGGCTGGCAGGAAAACATCCGGCCCAGACGCTGGGTTCTGGCTGCGGGGACAGAAGGTCAGCGGGAACAGGGGCCCATTGTGAGGGCCGTTCCGGTCCGTGTGGGGGGAGAGCCGGCCCTCGGCCCCGGGGCCGTGTCCCGGAGGGGCTGGAGGTAGGTGGGCGTCTGGGCGGGGCAGCTCCTCCCTGGTTTCTGCCTTCCTGGCCTTCGGGGCCACAAAGGCCCCTTACAGACGGAGATGGCAGCCGGGCCGGGCGTGGTCACCCACAGGGGCCACGGAGAGGGAGCGTGGCCGAGCCTGTCCGCTGGCCCCAGGCCCCCCAAGTGGGCAGCCGTGGGCTGGGGTCGGAGGCCGGCATCCCTGAGGAGCAGGTACTTCCTTGGCCCCCGTGTGGCCGGCCCCGGGCCTATCCCCCAGTCCACCCTTGGGTCCGGACGGCGGCATGCCCGGTGGCTCAGGCCGTGGCCTGCGCAGAGGCCATGGTGGGTCAGGGCGAGGAGCTGCTGGGAGCCCCTCTCTCGGGGCGAGCTGCAGACCAGGCTCCCGTGTCTTCTGAGGCCGCCTGTGGGCCTGGACCGAAGTCCTTCAGGAGTGAGCGGGCTGCCCAGGGCGCCAGGCGTGGGGACCTGCTCTGCCTGCTGGACTGTCTGCAGGCAGGGCGGTGGGCCCCCCTGGGTGCCCGGAGCTGGGGCACCTGGGGACCTCGTGGCTGTGGTCTAGCTTAGAGCCTGGGGTGAAGGTCTCAGTGAGAGCCTCCAGCGCCCTGGTGGGCGGGGCAGCCTGAGCTGGTGTGGGGACAGCCTAGTGGTCAGAGTCCGGCGGCTTGGGCTCAGGGAGCTGGCCGTGGCCCCGGGCACTGCCCATCAGGCCCAGGAGCCTCTGGGGCTGGCTTTGGTCCTGGGAGGCCGTGGAGCCGGGCTGGGACCTGGGAACGTGGTGCCTGGAGCTGCGGGGCCCGGAGCCGTCACACCTGAGGGTACGGGCTTCCTCCAGTTAGGACGTCCCCAGGTTAAGGACCAGCTCAGGGCCCCGCTGTTTCCGTCCAGGCCTCCTCCCAGCAAAAGAACAAGCCTCGTCTGCTGCCTCAGTTTCCTCATCTGTAAAGTGGGTGCGCCTGAGCCCTCGGTGGCTGTGAGCCTTTCAGTGACTCGCCCACGGGGCTCGGCCAGTGCTGGGCGTCACGCAGGTTGCTCTGCCCTGACTCTGCCCCGTCAGTCAGGACATAACCCGGTGGCGCCCCCTGCAGGGTGTGGCTCTCCCGTGTGGAGGGGGCGGCTTCCCCGCTGGATTCTGGGGTGCATTTGCCTGTGGTTCATTACCTGGCCCCCTCAGCGTGGGCAGTGGGATGTTTGTTTTATGAGGTGCAGCCCAGATGCAGACAGAGGGGGGAGGGGGGAGGGCCATGGGGACCCCAGGTGGGCCCCAGGGTGGTCTGGGCTGAGGTTCCGGGAACGGGGTCTCTAGGGCGTAGATGTCTCGTCCTGTGGGCCCGGCTGGTGTGGAGGATGCTTCTGAGGAGGTAACACTCGGCACGTTCTTGGGAAGCCTGCGGGACAGAGGTGCGCGCTGGGGGAGACTGGAGCAGGAGCCCTGCTCGGCCGTGGCTCCCCATAACCACCAGGTGCCCTTTGCCCAGATGCACCTAAAACACGGACTCAGACACCTTCCCTCACCGCAGCTCTCCAGTCCTCGCCCCCGCCCAGCTCCCACCTTGAAGCACAGCCTTCAGACCCCCTGGCACCCGTGTGGGGCTTACTTTTTATTTTTTATTGATTTCAGAGAGGCAGAGAGAGGGAGAGAGGGATAGAAACAGCCATGGTGAGAGAGAATCATGGACCGGCTGCCTCCTGCACACCCCCTACTGGGGATGGAGCCCACAACCCGGGCATGTGCCCTTGACTGGAATCGAACCTGGGACCCTTCAGGCTGCAGGCCAACCTCTATCCACTGACCCACACCAGCCAGGCTGTGAGGTTTATTTTAAGGTGAAATGGGACCAGACCACAGACGCTGTCTGAAGCCTGTTTTAGCTCCTGCCTTTCCGCTGGGAGGAGTTTGGAGGTCGGAGGTCGGAGGTCGGAGGTGGAGGACGACCCCCTCCCGGCTCACGCGGGGTCTGTCTTGGCAGGTGGCCAAGGTGGAGTACATCCGGAAGAAGCCAAAGTTAAAAGAAGTTCAGGTGCGGCTGGAGGAGCACCTGGAGTGCACGTGCACGCCCACCGGCCCAAGCCCGGACTTCCGCGAGGAGGAGACAGGTGAGCTGCGCTCTCCCCGCCTCCCCATGTCCCTCCCCGTGTCCCTCCCCGGGTCCCTCCCTACGTCCCTCCCTTCTCCCTGTGTCCCTCCCCGTGTCCCACCCGTGTCCCTCCCGTGTCCCTCCCCAGGTCCCTCCCCGTGTCCCTCCCGTGTCCCTCCCCGTGTCCCTCCCGTGTCCCTCCCGGGTCCCTCACCATGTCCCTCCCCGGGCCCCTCCCCGTGTCCCTCCCCGGGTCCCTCCCCGTGTCCCTTCCCATGTCCCTCCCCGGGTCCCTCCCCGTGTCCCTCCCCGTGTCCCTCCCCATGTCCCTCCCGTGTCCCTCCCCGTGTCCCTCCCGTGTCCCTCCCCGTGTCCCTCCCGGTGTCCCTCCCATGTCCCTCCCGTGTCCGTCCCGTGTCCCTCCCCGTGTCCCTCCCGTGTCCCTCCCGTGTCCCTCCCGGGTCCCTCCCCGTGTCCCTCCCCGTGTCCCTCCCGTGTCCCTCCCCGTGTCCGTCCCGTGTCCCTCCCCATGTCCCTCCCCATGTCCCTCCCGTGTCCGTCCCGTGTCCCTCCCCGTGTCCCTCCCCGGGTCCCTCCCCGGGTCCCTCCCCATGTCCCTCCCCATGTCCCTCCTGTGTCCCTCCCTGGGTCCCTCCTCGGGTCCCTTCACCGTCCCCAGGGCTCTCAGCCTGGCTTCTGGGCTGAGGGGAGCAGGGCTCCGGGGCCGTGGGATCGGCTGCTGTGAGCTCAGTCAGATGCTCGCCGACCAGCCGTCTTGTCGGCGGGGATGGCGAGCTGCGTGGCTCTGGCAGGAGAGGTCCGGCTGCAGTGAGGGAGTGGGGTGAGCGTCCTAAGTCTCTGGCCCTGGCGGGTCGGCCGGTTGGGTGATTAGGGGAGACCTGTTTGAGGAAGGCCCCATCCTGGTGGGAAGGCTGGTGCTGGGCCTCTGGCTGCAGTGTGGTGTGTGGGGGGGGGAGGAGAGGGGGAGGGGGTCCCGGCCTCCCCTCGGACAGACTGCCCGGGCTGCACAGCGTGGCAGCGTGGCACCCAGGGGGCCAGGAGGTCGTGTGGCGATGGATCAGGTTTCCTCCAGGCGATGAGCTGCCCGGTGCTCATTGTTCAGTGCCCGCCACCCCCGGGCGGCCCTCCCAGGCCACTCACCCTCCCGCCCTTCTGTCAACAGGAAGGCGTAGGGAGGCAGGTAAAAAGCGGAAAAGGAAAAGGTTAAAACCCACCTAAGCAGCCAACCAGGTAGGAGCCGTGGCTGGACAGGCCACGTCCCACGGGGGAGGCGCGGTGGCTGATCACAGGGCTAATCACGCAAGGAGAGGCCGCGCCGCGATTGGCCGCGATTGATTGGCCGTGATTGGCCATGATTGATTGGCCGTGATTGGCCGTGATTGGTGTCCAGCTGGGCTGTGGTCTCCTGCTCCCGTCCCTGACGCCTCCCCTCTGGCCACATGGAAGGAAGCTGCATCCACGGCCCTCCTGCCCGGAGGCCTGGCCTGGCTTTAGTCTGTTCCCTGGTTGGGGGCCAGGGCGGTTCCCGAGGGGAGTGATGGGAGCTTCCTGGCCGCAGGGTCCGCTCAGGCCGGTCATGTGCCCATTGGAAAGGTGAGCACACTGAGGCTGAGGCTGCAGTGAGGGTTGCCGAGGCTGAGGTCTCTGAGGTAGACGTGGGTGCCTCGCGGAAAGACGGGGACAGAGCATGCGAGGTCCTCGGGGTATCGGCAGGGACCCTCTCTGTCCAGGACCGGTGCTGTCCGTCCTCAGAGGTGCCTCGCGGCCCCAAACGGCTGCTAAAGCTCCAGAGATCACACCCACACTCCTGGCTGGAAGAAATAGTGAGGCGGGGAGGAGTCTCACTCAGGGGCTCGCTCTAATTGCATGGGCCGTCCCTCCGCAGCAAGGGAACCTGGGAAATGGAGTCTTTGCCAGAAGAGAATGGGGTCTGGGCAGCCAGGATCAGCATGGAGGAAGCGATTCAAGCCTGCCTGGTGTTGGCCTGTTCGGCGCAGGGGAGCCTGGTCCTTCCTCGGGCCCGTGGCACCCAAGACCAGTAGTGGGGAGAGGAATCCCCGGAGACACTGTCTGCGGGCAGGGCTCAGGAGGCCGTGGGCCAGGTGCCCCCATGTGGGGTCTTGGGGAGGAAAGGCCCAGGTGTGGTTTGGGGGCCGTCTGAGCCCCGGGCCAGCTGCCGACAGACGCTACTGTGCGAGGCAGGTGCCCTGCATTCGGACTTCGGGCCTGGGGGAGGTACAGGTGCTGGGGTGAGCAGTCGGCAAGTGAGGCAGCTGAGTGAGCTGCTCTGAGCTCGGCGCAGTGCAGATGGGCCTGGGCAGGGACCCCTCCTGTCTGGCTGGTGGCGTCGCCCCTCAGCGCTGCCTTACGGCCTGAAGTGGCTGCCAGAGCCCCGGGACCACATCATGGCCTCGCTGGAAGAGGAAGGCGAGGAGAGAGACGGAAGCACCTGTTTGGGCCTCGGCTTCCCTGCTGTGTGCCGCGGGAGGTGGGGCTTGCTCTCCAGCCTCTTGTGAGGTTCTGAGAGCCTCATCCCTGCTCTGGTCAGGATGTCCAGAAAGGGTAACGAGCCCGAGGGCATTTGAAATGCTTCATAAAAACATCAAATGCTGAGATTTGCCGCTGTGTGTATACACGTGTATACACACGGGTGTGTTCAGGGGTGCGTGCCCTCGCTGCGTGTGCTCCTGGGCCCGCCTCTCAGTGTCTTTCTCTCCCTCTCCCTGCAGATGTGAGGTGAGGATAAGCTAGCGGCCCTTTCCCGGGACACGGATGTACATGGCGTGTTACATTCCTGAACCTACTATGTACGGTGCTCACTGCCAGCGTGCGGTCTTTGTTCTCCTCCGTGAAAAACTGCCTCCACGCGCTGCACCCTGGAGAACAAAGAGACAGTATACGTTTGTTTAATGTGACATCAAAGCAAGTATTGTAGCACTGGGCGAGCCGGTCAGAGCGTCCTTGTCCGAAACAGCGAGCACACAGAACAGACCGGGAGCTCCCAACGCTCCGCCCTGGGCCGAGGGGCCTGCGGACGGCGGCGGCGCCGGCCGAGGGACGTCTGTCCGAGGACGCGGAGGACGGCGGCGCCGGGCGGCACGGGCGCGGGCCCCGGAGCCGCTGTGGCGGTCGGAGCGCGTCTCCTTGCTGTAGTGTTTAAGTCTATACGAACTTCCTGAGAGCCTTAAGTGGGTTTCTTTTTTTTTTACACCATAAAGTGATTATTAAGCTTTCTTTTTACTCTCTGCCTAGCTTTTTTTTTTTTTTTTTTTTTAAATTATCTCCTGGATGGCATTGACACCGGTCACACCAGGCTGCTGTAACCGGTCGGGACAGTGAGACAGTCTCCCTCCGGGCAGGATGCGAACGAATGAGATGTATTAAAATAAACATGGTATACCCGCCTACGCATCACTCCTCGCTGTTTCTGGCTGTCCGTGCATCTGCTCTTTAATTTAAGCCATGCCGAGAGAACTGCGTGAACCAATCAGACACTGCCCGCCTCCCGTCCCCGCACCCTGCCCTGGGTGTGGCCGGGGAGGCGGCCCCCCTCCCCCGCTGCCCGCGTCGACACAACCCAAATCCTTTATTTTTGGTAAGATGTTACGCTTTCCATGTACTCCAGAGAAACGTGTGTGTGTTGTTTTCCGTTTTTGTTTTGTAAAGGTGATGTTTGTATTTTTATCTAATATTACCAGTTTTATATACCTGAGAGCCTGTTACGTTCTTTGTTGTTTTTGCTTTTTGTTTTTTTAACCAAAAGGGAAAGAAAAACACCAGCAAAACCCATGCACATGACACGCAGTTTGTGATCATGTTTTTCTAGGTGGGCAACCGAGCCCTGGTTTCCTCTCTGGTCCCAGCCCATGGTGGCCACCGGGCTCCTGGGGGGGTGAGGGAAGGGAGGTCACAGCCTCGGGGCCCGGGTGTCCCTGGCTGGCTCCCCCAGCCAGAACCTGCAGTGCAGCCTGCTCTCAGGACCGGAACCTGGTGGGCATGGGCCAGAGGAGCCCCCTCGCCTGTGCCTGTGATGGAGATGGAGAGTCCACCCTTCAGAGCAGCCACGTGGGTGAGGAAAGTGACGTTCAGAGGTGGGACCTTGCTCCCCATCCTGAGGCCACACCCCAGCTGCCTGTAGGGTTGTCTTCAGTGTCTGTGTGTGGCAGGGTTTTTATAAAGAAATTAGTGGCCCGGTGCATGGATTCGTGCACATCCAAAGGGAATTAGAAGAAATGCGTTCACTTCGTTATTCACCCTTTCTCTTAACAGAAGTGTCAACCAAATTCACGATCGACAATGACAGATCGAAACTCACATGTGATTGGCACCAGCGAGAGCTTTATATGTATTGCTCATGCACGGGTCAACTTAGCCTTTTATAGATATAGGACAAACTTGCTTAATTAGACCTGCTTTCTGATGCAACTAAACTTTCCAGCCCAGTGAAGCACCCCAACTTCTCTTTCAGGCAATTGTCGGCAGCACAGCAGGAAATATCAACACGAAGCAATTATTGTAGATCACTCAGGAAGAACACAGAGTAGGATATTTAACTGCAGCAGTGTTGGACTCTATTCTGCGCAATGAGAAAACATGAAATCATTGTCAAGGCTCACCATTTCTTTTCAGTTGGGTCAAGTTTCTATGCTTTCTAAATCTCGATTTTCCGATTAATGAAAAGAAAATACGATTCCATTGAGTCTCCTATCTGCCTACTCCAGGGCTTCTGTGAGGATCAAATGAGATGAGGGAGGTGAAAACACTAAACAGACATTTGGTTAAAGTGTAAAATGTTTGCACCTGGCTATAAAGCAGGTCCAGTTCCTGGGCTGAAGAAACACCAAGGAGGCTAGTCGCTAGGGAGAGGAAGCCGGGCGTTGCTACGTGACATCATTGCTTGGATGAACACTCAGAACATTAGCCTTTTATATATATAGACTGGAGGCTTGCCAGCCCCGCCCCCTGCTGACCGATCAGTCTGCCCTTTGGGCCATTTGCATATTACACTTGTACACTTGGGTTTCTTCAGCACACCTTTTCTCCGTGTGGTTATCTGAACGATGCCCTGGGAGGTTGGGGTGAGGGGAAGGGGTGAGCACGTTGGTTGGATCCCCTGGCTCTTGCAGGAACCTGGAGGGCCGGTCATAGCCTCTGGGCCTGGGGTGTCCCTGGCTGGGTGACCTGCCCAGGCCCAGCGGGCGCCGCCTCGGTGCTGTGCTCGACCCTGTGCCTGAGGATGTGTCTCATGTTAGATGTATGGATGTGTCATGTATGTGCTTGTTCTGTGAGACGCCGAGGACACGGCTGTTTTCCTTACCTGATGCCAGTGGGTGAGTGGTCTGCCCGAAGCCTCCTGCCCCTGGGGAGGAGAAGGTGCCCCGGGAGAGACAGGTGCCCGTGGCGCTGGTGCCGCCCCTCGCCTGCTGGCTGCCCTCCTGCACTGGCCGGTCCTGGTGGAGCCGCGCCCTCTGCCTGCAGGCTGCCTGCATTCCTGGCATTTCCCGGGCACTGGCAGTGCCAGCCTGGGCTGCACTGGGTGTGGCCAGACTGGCTTTGCAGCCCAGGAGCCCAGGCCAGTCGGGCCTTCGTGTGGGCTGCGCTCGGGCAGAGCGAGGGCCAGCCATGCGGAGGCAGAGGAGGTGGGGCCTGGGTCTTGAGTTGTCTGCCTCCTGCAGAAGCAGGTCACCCTGCCTCAGCGTGGCCATTCCTCGGTCCTGGGCCCAACGCTGCAGCATCGCCGGGGCAGGGCCCCTGTGCCCATGCACCTGCGTGGAGACCCGTGGTCCCCTGGCCACGCCCTCCTTGCCTGTGTGGAGGCTGCCAGGAGCTGGGAGGCCAGGGGCTGGGAGGTCAGGGGCCAGGTGATGGGTCATGTGGGGCGTCTCCCTCTCGCCAGGCCCTGAGCCCGGCGTGGGAGGGAGCAGACTTGACTGAAGAGCTGACAGTCCAGCCCTGGGTCTGCTCAGCCTCGCATCCCTCCAAGTCCAGTCCAGGAATGGAGTTGTGCCCTTGGCATGACCTTGACCCTCTCGGGGGACCTGAGCCAAAGAGCAGCGATGGGGGTGGGCAGCAGGTGTCTCTGAGGGCGGTTCTGTCTGAGGGGCCCAGCTCCCAGGGGATGGGTCTGCCCCTGCATGATGGCTCAGGAGCCAGCTAGTTCCCATCTCGGACAGGGACACAGAGTTCAACCTACAAGGATGTCGATTTGGATGAACCATGATGGTGGAAGGGGCCAGGCAGTGCCCCCACCAGGGTCGCCCGCGTGGGAGGACGCTGTGTCCCCACAGCTGGCCATGCCCGTCTCTGCGTGGCTATGCAGACGCTGGGCCGTGTTTCCTGCACTCTGGCACCCACCCTGAGGATGGAGTTGGGAACCTGGACCTCCTGCTGGTTCTGCCAGCCTCACGCCCATGGCTGAGAGCAGAGCGAGCACCTCAATGCCCCTGGGCAGGCAGGCAAGCGGGTCTGCTGACCCTCAGCCACTTGCTGAGAAGCCAGAGGGGCAAGGAGGAGGCTGGTCCCTGCCTGGGGCTGCCCAGCCTGGGGCATTTCACCATGTAGCCAGGGCGTCTCCTGTGACCTTGGATGACCTTGCCATGTGACCTTAGCGAGTGGGCCATTTCTCTGTGGTTGTGCTGGGAAGGAACCTGGGGGTCTCCTCACCCAACCCCTGCCGTCCGAGGGCGAGGCTCAAGCTGCTCCTTAGACAGGGAGTGCGAGCCGTGGCTGATGCCAGCCCCAGGCCTGAGCCTCACTCAGCGCCCGCCCACCTCCGGAGCTCCCTGACCTCCTTCCTCGGTGTGTGTGGCTGAGGGGAGAGGTGGGCCCGGTGCCCCCTCGGGAGGATGGCTGAGCTTCCTCGGACGTGGGTCGCCAGGGGCTGCGAAGGGGGCAGCAGGCTGTTTGCTCAGAGCTGGGCCCTCGGGGGCCCTGGGGCCTCGGTCCCCGTTGTTATGACTGCACTGACGGTGGAGCTTCCGGGGCCACCGCTGGCCTTGGAGCCGCTGTCACCCCACATTCTCCAGCGTCCCCCCCTCCCCCCTGCACCCCGGCTGCTGCCGAGGCTGGAATCCTCCCCCACACTCCGAGGGGCCTGGGGCGCAGAGCGTGTGGCGTCTTCAGAATAAAACGGTGACTGTTCCCAGCCAGGCCCTTGAGCTGCCAAAAAATGCGGAGCATTCACCGTCTGGGCCCTGGCCTCCGGGCAGTGGGCAGCGTTCCTGGGAGGACGCCCTGCACGCGGGTCTCACCCCGAGGTGCTCCCTGCCACCGGCTCCGCAGGGAGGCTGGGATGTGGGGGTGGGCAGACCGGGGGACAGACCACTCCCCCCAACTGTCTCAGGCAGACGCTGGCGAGGGGTGCACGTGGCCAGCTCTGGGCCTGGGCCATAGAGTTCCTGTCGCCCCCCATCCTCCCCGCCATGGAGCATGGGCTGTGGGCCCCCGCCCTGGGGGACTGGGCCCTAAGGCCACCTTGTCAGACCCCATGTCCTGACTGGCAGGAACACACAGCCAGTGGTGCCGCCCTCATCAGCCTCTGGGCCCTTGGTGGGCCGTGCCCTCTGCAGCTGGGCCATGGAGGCTCTGGGCAGGGTGGGCTCGGGGCCCATCTGGCTCCCGCTGTGCCCACCGCCCAGACTCGTGGCTGTCCCGTGGGCTGCGTGGGCCAGCCTGGGCGGTTCCGTGGGACGAGGGAAGGCTTCCCCAGGTGCTGAGGAGCGTCTGCTGGGCAGATGGGGCCTCTGCTCGCTGCTCCAGGCCTCTCGCTCCGCAGGGCCCTCAGGGGAGCAGGCAGTGGCCCCTGGGCCAGCCTCTCCTGCCAGGGTCCCGGAACTCTGTGGTCCCAGGGAGGGCTGGCCTCCCACAGCTGTGCTTCCGGAGGAGACGGCTGCCGCCGACTTGCCAGGACCTGTGAGCGGAGCCGGAGGGCGGCTGCCACCTGGGCCGGGGCTGCGCCTTGTCAACAGTCTCGGCTCAGCCTCCCCCCCCCCCCCCCCCCCCCCCCGGCACCTGAACTCTGCCTGACCTCGGAGCTCTTCCCGGTGTTCTGGGCCGGGGCCTGGGCCCTGCCCCCGTCACAGCCTGGCAGCGCCCACGGCCCCCTCGGTGGCCTCCAGGCCAGTACGGAGGGCCAGGCGCGGCCCCCGGGCTGTGGCCGGGGCTCCAGGAGGTGCAGGCGATGGTTGGTGGGTTGGTTCGCTCATCCGTTCGCACACTAAGGTGCACCCGTGACCTCACTCAGTGCCCGTGTCCTCACCTGTCAGGTGACAGGAGACCAGAGGCCCTCCCCTCCGTTCTGTGCACAAGGGGATTCTGGGAGTGTAGGGTGGGCATGTAGGACTTTGGGTGACCTTGCCTGTGACCCACTGGCGGGTGGGTCACTTCGTTTTCAGAAACAGAACGTCCTTTTCTGAGGCTTTTACCGTCCGGCTCTTCTGTCCGGGCCTCTGTCCACGGCGTGACCGAGGGCCGTGTCTTCCCCGCTCGTGGCCATCCGTTGTCCCTCCTCTGCACTGGTCCTGGGCTCCGTTCTGCTCCGTCCGTCTGTCTGCCCTTGTGGGGGGTCAGCCTGTCTTCGGGACTGGACGCTGTGTTGGTTACGTGGGGTCACTGTCTTCCCGTCCGAGTGTTTGGATCAGCCTGTCTGTCCACACACAAGCCGCTGGGGCCATCGGGATGGTCTGAGCTCTGTGGACCGGGAGGTGGGCCACC